GTGCCTTTATGGGAGTCAAACATGAATTGTATTCACATTTGCAGTGACAACTTTTCTGCTACATGCGGACACTATATTTATCCATGAAATGAAGGAATATACACAAGAAATAAAAGATACAAAGATTCTCATCCAAGTCTACCATCTTTTTTCATTAAAATTACAAAGGTAAATTCAAAAAACTTGAATTTGATTTAATTTGAACAGTTCATATATCCCATTCTATAATTGTTCATGTTATCAAACCATAGGGGATTATCACGCTGATACGTAGGACTTCCGGATTCAGTGATCTATGTGCACTGCCACTTCCGCTGAATCACAGATCTCGCTGGCGAACTGATGACGGACTACACTAAGTTTATTTAAACGGCATCCCTGGTAAGTTAGTCTGATTCACTAAAGTGCTGGCTGCAAACAAACGTGCTACCTTGTTTTATTTTAAAGTTTTAATCCAGTTCTTCCTTATACTCAATTCAGTCGGGAATCCATGAAAACTTACGTAGGGTTGGCGTTGTTGGTTAGATTTACAAAGTGGAACAGAGCAGTGACATATATAGCCTTCGTCTCAGCCATTGTTGAACTGCGTCGGAAGTGGACATGCACAAAGTTGACAAATCCCGCCCATGAATCCCGGAAGTGTGATAATCCCCTATTATGGAATTCCTTCCACAGTAACACACAAAATGAGACATTTTGAAGATTTATTGATAAGATCCAAGATCCAATTACATTTAAAAAATACCATATAGATCAGTTTGATGTTTATGTATAATTAATCGTAATTGCATGAACAAAAATGACCAGAACATTCTTTAGGATTTCTCTTTTGTGTCATACTGATAGTCATACTGGTATGGAACAACATAAGGGTGAGGGTTTACTTTTGGTAAATCTTCTATTTATTTAAATCTGTTGAAACGTTATTAAACCTTATATTCCATGATATCTGTTTCCATATATTTCAAATAAATATTGATTAGCTTGTTCAGTATTGAAAAAAATAACATCGATCTCTCTTGTAATTCTAGAAATGGACATAAATGGGAGAGCAGATGAGTCTACTTATTTGCTTTATATTCATCCACCAAATCCATATTAAAACTTAAACTGTGTATTGGAAACACATAACCACACGTAACACCTCAGTTTATACTTTTTATATCTATAGCTCTCTGTTTTGTTATCTGTCATTTCAGACTTTGCGATGTATGTATGTACTCGCATATATATTGTCATTGCTGTTGATAGTGGTATTGTTATTACTATTAAATCTTACTGTGGCAACTGTTTTTCATTTCCACTTCATGTACATACTGAATGTAAATATTTGCAGAAAAAAGAGCACGTTGTAAATCCATTGTAGGCAAGATGAACTTGTTTTTGTTTTGTCTTTGTGTTTTTCTAAGTTCTATGAAATAAAAAAAAATAAAAAAAAAAACGTTTTGTTTGTAATTTTAGACTTGGTCTTGTTTATGCTGCCCTTACAGAAAATGCACAAGAGCAGAAATTCAGTCCAAAGACCGATTTCATTGTAGTGATTTGTGCTACATTCATTTTAAACAATCAAATATAATTTGCCATTGTTGTTTATTGCATAGTTTATTACACTAACGTTTTTTTAATTGTTTTTGCAAGCGCAAGTCATTTTTCCTTATTGATCACAGTGTCATTGCACTCTGCTCTGAAAGGTTTAATTAGATAGTGAGTGGCGCAGAGTTATTTGATTTGCTTCAAATCAGTCAAAAATGATTTTTTTGCATTAAATTTAGCTGTTAATCAAGTCTCTGCTGTCTCTTGTTGATCTTTAAAAACAAGACAGAGTGGATTTATTATTAGCTTACCAATTTCATCAATTTAACTGTCAAGGTCAAGTTAAAAACAGTAAGAACATGAAAAACTGTATTTGTTTTCTTTTATGGATTATTATTGTATTTTGCACTAAAAGATAAATTAAACCACACAAACAGCTAGATAATAATGGCAATTTTGCCACCGGGACTGCTTTTATTCTCCAGTAACTGCTCTCTTAAGTGAAGCATTTCAAGACTGTCTTTAAACTTCAAGACAACTTTAATCTCAGTATGTTACAGAGTTCTTCTGTAAAACTATAAATTATTATTTTTTTAAACTGGGGAATGCGGCACCTGTTGCCCATTTCCTGCACACGCCTGTGCACAGTGGCTCTGGATGTTTTTACTCCAGACTCAGTCCACTGCTTCCCCAGGTCCCCCAAGGTCTGGAATCGGTCCTTCTCCACAATCTTCCTCAGGGTCCGGTCACCTCTTCTCATTGTGCAGCTTTTTTTGCTACAGTTTTTCCTTCCCACAGAGGTGCCTTGATACAGCACTCTGGGAACAGCCTATTTGTTCATAAATTTCTCTTTCTTACCCTCTTGCTTAAGGGTGTCAATGATGACCTTCTGGGCAGCTGTCAGGTCGGCAGTCTTACCCATGATTGCGGTTTTGAGTAATGAACAGGCTGGGAGTTTTTAAAAGCCTCAGGAATCTTTTGAGGTGTTTCGAGTTAATTAGTTGATTCAGATGATTAGGTTAATAGCTCGTTTAGAGAACCTTTTCATGATATGTTAATATTTTGAGATAGGAATTTTGGGGTTTCATGAGCTATATGCCAAAATCATCACTATTAAAACAATAAAAGACCTGAAATAGTTCCGTTGGTGTGCAATGAATCTAAAATATATGAAAGTTTAATTTTTATCATTACATTATGGAAAATAATGAACTTTATCACAATATGCAATTTTTTTGAGAAGGACCTGTATAGTCCGATTCAAACATGTACAGCTGACATTCAAAACAGCGTCTCTCTCACTCTCTCAGCCCTTCTGCTTACCGACTGCCATAGGTACGCAAGTGACGCCCTTATCCAAAGGCAGGGCGGGGATATGCAGCTCCTTTGCATTTAAGGTCGTACACACCAAAACAGGTCATTTTTAAACAGGCCCCAAAAATTGCATTTTCAAATGGTTATAATAAATTAACTGTGGGGTATTTTGAGCTGAAACTTCACAAATACATTCTGGGGACACCCGAGACCAATATTACATCTTGTAAAAAGGGCCATAATAGGTACATTCAGCCTCAATCTCACGGTCTCACGCTCAACATAGAAATCTCACGCTAAATTAGACATTCTTCTGGGCTGTATTTTTTTTTTTGTATTACTATAAGCAAGTTCAGGCTCTTAACTACTGACTGGACGCAGAGAAAAATCGCGGAAAAAGATGACACCGACAGACTACAGAGAAGTTTACTCCTGATATGGAGCGTTTTGGCGCTTTTAAATGTGACAGAACGCAGTAGCGCATGAGTTCAAACGGCACGTGATACAGTTGCCTAGGCTACAACATCCACAGGGCACGAGCAAAAATACTGTATCTGGTAATCTCCCGCTTTATATTAACAAACTGTCAACACGGGCTTTTGCGATGCACAGAGAGACGCTGCGCTGCCTATGACCTTGAACGTGAGTTGAGAGCGTACATTTGCACTACGTGCCTGTCTTTTTAGCAAAAAAGATATCTTTCACTAAATATCTACAGTGGCGTAGGGCGAGGGCGTGAGGTGCTGAGAGCAAACTTTGACGCGTTCGACCCGAGTTCGAATCCGGCTTTTACTCTCTCTTCTCATCTGGTGTTTTCTCCAAAATAAAAGCTTAAGGGTTTATTTCTTGCAAGTGAAGAAATTAGGACAAAACTATTGTAATTTTCCTATACAATAGTGTAAGTAAAATATACTTTTGAAATATTCATTTTCATTTATACAGCAGCCTACATTTATAGACTAGGCCTATATGGATTTTACGTAATAGGAATAATTATATAAATCATTATTACATTATTATAATAATTGTTTATTGCATCCTAAAAGAGACTGAGACTTTATATCATAAAGTCTTTATATCATAGACTTTATATAACTAAAAAGATGTTTGATCACTCTTTAATGTCCAGGTACAAGTCGAGGCTTTTGCTTTGTTGAATGTCACAGTTCATGATTTGAAGCCGGTTAAAACTCTTAATTTTGAGCTCTCAAAGTGCACCAGATTGATGCATTTAACCTTAAAATGTACAAAATTTTCTTACGGGGGAGTATGCCCCCGAACCCCCCTAGAAGGACAGAGGTCTCAATATAGTTTTAATAAATCATATGGGAAAGAACAATAATTTATGAACTTTACTCCCAACTGTTTTTTTTTTAATCAGTAAAACTGTTAGCCTAATGCCAAATTAAAATTGGACAAACTATACATTGTGCCCTACAAGATCTTGTGACCCCCACCCCCCCCACCCCCCAAAAAATAAAATAAAATCTCACTCCAAGCAAAACTCAAAAGTTGGCAACCCTGCAATGGAGGGACCAGTAGCCTATATTTTCAAATGACCTGTGTCAGTATGTGTGACTAATTAACTGGCAGCTCGCACCAATTTTCAAAATCGGGGTGGTGCCCTCAAAATGTCATTGATGTTTGTAAACACGCATGTTACATGATATTATTTCAATAAAGCAAGGACATTGAGTAAACAACGAGATAATCCTTCCGTCATTATAAATATGTTCTGGTGTACCCAACAGGTCAAATCAACACAAACCACTTAAACTGATGTAGCCTAGTAACAGGCCTATTATATAGCAATTGCTAGTGTGTTGAAATGCAGTGCTTTTGTGCATAAATACATATAACTTAAGCTTTCAAGCTGATGATTGTTTCCATTTTATTTTTTACAATATATTACAGTATAATATTGGTTGATCTACAGATAATGATTTTACACCAACCTTCTCAGATCAAACACTATTACAATCATTAAGATCAATAATAATAAATAAGAGACAAACATTTAAGCTACAGTCCGTAGCTTTTTTTGGTTTAAAAATTATCCAAAATACATATTTGAGAAAATGCATAACCAGCCAGTGTTCAAAACTATCTGCTTGAATTAGCTCGATTCAAAGCGGTAAGCTTGTAATAATGTTTTTAATTCCAGTGGTACTGGTGGATTTCCGCGGGAGATTCGAGCATGTCTTTGCATCATTACATCTGTACACATAACGTAAACTGTACACACTCAAACATGTGTCCATGTCGAACTACAACTCGAACTCGCGTAAAGTTGATAATTCTGTGAATGACTGCAATTGCAGATTTTGAACAGAGATGGCGGCAAAGAGGAAAAACGTCGGACTGCAGCTTTAAGTTAAATAAATATAGTGACTCTGTAAGAAACAAATAATAATGGTTGAAATGACATTCAGTGTATTAAAGAAAATAAAAAATCAAGTAAAAAGAACCTTTACCTTATCCATGTGGATTAAGAATTGCATGTTGTGTTTTACTCATAAAGACAATTTACAAGAATATTGAAATAAATTATGAAAATGTTTAAAATAGTCCAAATACAAGAAGAAGGGTCTTTGAAACGATTTCACAATAACCTCTAGAAAAAGAAAATAAACTTGCTGGTAGTGTCATCATAGCGGCATCAGATCTAAGATTTTATTCGAGATTCTTGATGATCTCATGACTGAAAGCCTCCACTGTTTCTTTTTCGACCGATTGCTCTGTTTGCTGTTCCGTTGTACACGGCTCAGGTCCAGAAATACAGTCCAAACTGCCAAATGTATCTGATGCCACAGGCAGACTGTCCTCTAATACACATTGAATTTCAAAGTCCTCCTCACAAAGAACAACAGGATCATCATTCTTCACAGCCTCTACTTCTGAACCTTTCAAAGACACTTGTGTGTTCATAGACTGACATCCCCGGCTTTCAAGATCTTCATTATGTTCTTCTGATTCCCTCTCAGCAGGACACACAGGCTTCTCAGAGTCACCACAAGCAAGGGTTTTACACTGTGTGCTCCCCACAGGCTGGACACTTTCTGCTGGATTACTGAATTGTGGAGTTTGTGAGACTGAATATGGGCAGGTAAAATAATCATCCTTTCGGTTCAACTCGACTGCCACGGCCAGTCCAGTGTCCTCTGTGACCTCTTCTCCAGTAACAATCTCTTCGTCTCCTACTGGAGAGAGATTGATCAAAGTTTTAACTTAAAAAAAACAGCAATAACACATTGTGGTTGTTATTATTTTTTAAATAGACTCTTAAGAAAGGTACTTTCCCTTTTTTTCCCAGTAAAAAGACACGATTTACCTTCAGAAAATGTATTCGGAAGTTAACCAAAATATTATACGAGCAGTTTTACTCACATGAGGTTTGCAATTTTTGGAATATATTCCAAAATTTAGAGTTTAAAACAATTATTTGTGTGATGTTTAAGTTTTCTAAAAATTGTATTATCCTTTTTACACTTTTAACTAAGGCTACGTTCACACTGCAGGCTGAAACGACCTAATTCCGATTTTTTTTGCCCCTATGCGACCTGTATCTGATTTTTTCATGACAGTCTGAACGACACCGATCCGATCTTTTCAAATGCGACCCAGGCCACTTGGATATGTGGTCTAAATCCGATATGAATCCGATCTTTTGAAATGCGACTTCAATCTGAACGGCCAGGTCACATTTATCCGACCTGCACGTCATTGCACGCACCTGTAGCTAGCCAATACACGCTAACTCCAACACGTTTCTGCACTGTTACGTGTCTCTTCCTCAGTGTTGAGCCTGAACGCGTTCATATACTGTATTACTGCCTGATGAACATTACTGTGAACACATTCATTCTGGTGTCTGTGAACGTGCGCTCTCTGTCAGTTTAACCTCGTACAGTAGGGTGCCAGATTGATTTCTATAGAGCCTTCCAGGCGAAAACCTGGCTAAAACACATGTAAACATGCCTTAAAAAGCCTTAAAATGTAGCGAAAAAACACCCAATCTGGCAACACCAGCCACCAGTGTCGCACCACGGCCGCCGGTGACAAAGCAAGGAGCGCCGAGGACGCGCACTATCAATTAAACGAGTTTTATGACGAGGTCGGTGAGGATCAGAAAAATCGTACATTTATGGGCAAACTTTGCCCGTCGATAAAATAATTGTTGTCTGTGTTATGGGCTGTGGCAATAATAATAATAAAACAAAAGCTCGCAACAATATGGAAAAAAAGAACTATTCCGCAAACAACAAGTGACGTCGTTGACCGTTGATTATTCTTCTGCGCATGCGGGTCATTTCTGGGTCATTTCACGTTCACACAGGAGATCACGAAAAGGTCGCATTTCATTGGAAATGTGAACGCCCTTGCAAAAAAATCAAATTTTTTCAAAAAATCGGAATTGAGCATTAAGCCCTGCAGTGTGAACGTAGCCTATGTTGCTGTTTGAGCATGAAAAGGGTCTGCAAAGTCCACTACAAAAGGAAGTTATTCTCTATATCAGTAAACACTGTTTTTGAACTCGATTGTGGTTGTGCATACATCTCATAATATTCCTCATTTGACGCGTTAAACAGAAAAAAGTTTGTATGCGTAAAAAAATATTTAATGCAATTAATGCAGCATCCGTTTTTCTGTCATCTATCACTGTTTTTCTGGTTAGCGTTAGATTATATGATAACGCTTTTATTCACGCAAAAATGCTTCTAAACCATTCAGGCGTGATGATAGGCTACCGTCGTTATGTTGTTTCTGTGTTAATTTGGTGATTAAATGTGAAATGATTACAATAAAAAAAAATATAAAAAACTTTAATGTTAGGTACGATTAATCTCGATTAATTACAGGAAAAATCTGTGATTAATTCGTTAATCGTTTTTAATCGACTGACAGCACTAATATAAAAAAAAAGCTTATTAAATTTAGGCTACTAAATTTTTTTGATTAATTAAACAAATCATTTAGCACAGGCTAGTAATAACTAATAACTTACCCATTGACTCTGGTGTTAGATGTACAGACTGTTCTGTGGTGGACTGGACATGCTGAGAGTCACTCAGGACAATAACAGCTTTCCTTCCTGTAAACAAAGTTGGCGTCAACAAGTGTACTAATGAACTATTATAAATATATTGTCAGGTCAACAACAAGGGTAGATATAATTAGTTTGAAGAAAATTGCAGAAAGGTATAAAAGGGAAAAATTATATTAAAAAATAAACGTACTCCCTAGTCCAAGAGACACATTGTAGGTGATGCCTCCAGAGAGTTGAGAAGAAAGAGTGGAAAGCAGAAATGGGAGAGCAATTGAAAGTTATTTAAATAAATAAAATAAGCAAGATAATCTATATTACGTTACATAGAAGTAAAGTTCTAAACTAAACTTAAATGATCGTTAATGTAAACTGCATAGTATTAGACGTGATGTTTACCTGGCAGACTCCACAACCCAGACACCTCTAATGTTTTCAATTTCCTTTCTAGTTCTGCAACCCGGTTACCTAGGATCCTGTTAAAATATACACAAACTATTAGTTCAATTTCACTTTTTAACAGTTTCCTATAAAATAATATGTATTTTTAAAAGTAACGTTGACTTAACTGATATCTCACAATACCAATAAACTACTTGGTTACTATCGTAACCTCGGTTCGCTATGAGAGAGAACAAGTATTGTGTAGCTATACACAGTGGGGAAACTCCCTTTCCTCCATTTACTGAAGCTTATATGTAAAACACATTTACAGCTGCATAGCTAGCACATTGAGCGCCCGACTCGCTCATAGGCTGTGCTGCGGCAACTGCACATCCAATGGCGTGGGCACCTCTGACGTGCGACCAATGAGCTAACTGAGCTAGCTCTACCTCAACACACGTCAGAGCCCGTCAAGGGGGCGTGGCTTCAGCCTATATTATTCCCCCGAATTCGCCATTACAGCAGGTTTCAACGACTGAAGAATCAACTCGCCAGGTTACTATAGTGCGGCAGACTACGCAATACTCGTTCCCTCTCTCAGGGAACCGAGGTTATGATAGTAACCGAGTAGTTGCCTTTCGAATGGTCACTTCGTATTGCATAGCTATACGCAGTGGGGGCACCATGCAAAACACCACACCAAAAGTAACTGGCTGCTGCCACTAAAAAACTGCTAAGCTCATAGAACAATGCCAGAAACAAGCCTGTTATATTAAGTGTACAACAGCCCGTCAAGGAGGCGTGGCTTCAGCCTATATTATTCCCCCAAATTCACCATTATAGCAGGTTTCAACGACTGAAGAGACAACTCGCCAGATTACTATAGTGCGGTCGACTACGCAATACTCGTTCCCTCTCTCAGGGAACCGAGGTTATGATAGTAACCGAGTAGTTCCCTTTCGAACGGTCACTTCGTATTGCGTAGCTATACGCAGTGGGGACACCACACCGAAAGTAACTGGCTGCTGCCACTAAAAAACTGCTGAGCTCATAGAACAACGCCAGAAACAAGCCTGTTATATTAACTATACAACAGACCGGACACCATCGGGTCTAAAACAATGTACACATATTAGTAGCAAAACCAATATTATATACCGTTAAAAAACCACAGTCACAGTCAGGATTAATAGTATAGGAATTATAACCGGCCAAAGCGATTATATATAATATATATGTGTGTGATTGTGCACACAGTAACATATTTAGACATGACCAGATACCGTTGGGCCTTGTCATACAGAAAGTACCTTCGCCTGCAGGGAAGGCACCTCCATATTATAAAACTTCATAAATGTGGAAGGTGAGGACCAGCCAGCCACATCACAAATATCCTGGATGAGAAAACCAGATGACCACGCCCATGAAGAAGCCATGCCCCGGTTCATGCCCCTGGCGTTAGGGCTGCGAGAAGCGCTTCACTGGTCGCTGCTGGCAGCTATCAGCTGCTGGGCGGGGCTGAGAGACCTGCTTCGCTGGCTTGGCTGGACGAGGTGAAGGCAGGGCGGACGTAGGCTTGCTGGAAGCGGAGCTGAAGAGTTTCGGCAGGAAGTGTTGCATAGCCTGGGACGACTTCTGCACTTGGGTGACTCTCTCAAAAAACCCTTCACCGCTGGGCCGAAGAGGCAGTAGCTGGATACAGGTGCATCAAGGAACTTGGTTCTATCCACGTCCTTGATCTCGGTTAGGTACAGCCATGGGTGGCGCTCCAGCATGACTGAACTCACCATATTCCTCCCGATAGCCTGCGCGGTAGCCTTGGTAGCTCGCAAGACTAGGTCCGTGACGCTTCGCAGATCACTGAAAGTCTCAGGGGGCAGGCAAGACTCAACCATGGACTGGAAAAGTTTGGCCTGGTAAACCTGCAGCACGACCATCATGTGCAGGGCCGAGGCAGCCTAATCGGAGGTGGAATAAGCTTGGTCCAGCGAGGGCTAAAGTGTTTCGGCATGGCTTGTTGGGGTGCACTTGAGTCGGCCTCTTCGAAGGGGGGCAACGACTCATAGCCCTTTTCCGCCGCGTCGTCCATGGAGGAGAGTGCTGCGTTAAGTGAAGATCCCACATGTGCCAAGCCTTGGTTAGCTCCTCGTGCACCTCAGGCAGAAAAGGCGCAGGCCTTTGACGAGGGGCCTGTTGGCGACCTGGAGCAGAAAAGGAAGAGCCTGTGATGCGGCACTGCCGTCTCGGGAGAGAGCTAGCCACGTTCGCAGCAGACATGGGCATGCTCTCACAGGACGCACAGCCACCAGAAAGCGAGTGTAGTCTCCGCATGGTCGATCCCCAGGCATGAGATGCATCTCCTGTGCTCATCGGCCATGTGCAGATTGCAAACCGCACGTGGCACAAGATGAGCGAGGCATTTGAAACAACGCCTCGCATGCTCTAATACCTTTAAAATTAAATGAAAGGATATAGCGTCGTCGCCGGATAGCCACAGGTGAGATGGCGTCAGGAGAAAACAGCTGATGAAGAAATTCTTCACAAGATGTGCCTCATCTGCTGAAGGGCTCGTTCAATGGCGAAAGCTCAGTAAAAAGTCAGAGACGTGAAGTCGTCACTGATGGAGTAAAATCTGCTATAATGGCGAATTCAGGGGAATAATATAGGCCACGCCCCCTTGATGCACACGCCCACGCCATTGGATGTGCAGCTGCTGCAGCACAGCCTGTGAGCGAGTCAGACACTCAATGTGCAGCTGCAAATGCGTTTTACAAATAAGCTTCAGTAAATCAAGGAAAGGGAGTTTACCAACGGTTTACGAAGTGACCGTTCGAAAGGGAACTAGATCTTCTGTGATATTTTCCGCACAGAAAATTAGGATTAATAAATTTCCGCACAGAAAATTAAAATTAATTAATATGAATTAATTATTAATTCATAACATACTTGTTGGTTTGCCGTTGATGCTGAATGACCATGTTCTTCTCATGGATGGTCTCCAGCAGAGCAGTGGCCAGGGACTTCAGGTCACTAATGGACTGTGAAGTGACTGGGAGACTGCAGCCATTCTCCTCAGACAGCAGCAACTCTTGTACTGGAAACATATGAGCTGTAGCTTAAGTATCATTCCTTCAAAGAATTGTAAATAAATCAATGAAAACTACTTTTCAAAAACCAATTTTTTACTGTTTGGATTTTATAGAAGTGCTGTGTGGTACCTTGTTTAGCAGAGAGGACACCTGTCAGAGCGCTGCTGTTGGACTTTCCATAGACTTTGCAGTTCTTCTTGCTTTCCAAAGCACTCTGTAAAAGAACACATGAGTATATGATATGCTCAACAGAGTTTACACATATTACAATTAAAGTAAGTGAAACTTTTGTGTTTATATAAATTTGGTTGTATGTGTAATAGGGGTGTTGAATATACTGGTGTTGACCATAATTTTGATATTCAAATCCTGAAATATTGACATTGTTTTAATTTAGAATGTACATGGTCAGAATGAGAGAAGCTCCTACACATAAACGGTCTAGGTGGCAGTCGACAACGCACTTAGGCGCCTCTTTCCTCGAATAAAAGGTCACCACGTCTTAGTTTGTTCGGACAACATGTATGTGGTGGCTTACATAAATCACCAGGACGGCGTCAAATACCGAAACCTTTACAGGTTGATGGAACACCTCCTGGTCTAGGCTCAGTACAATCTGTGCTCACTGAGAGCAGCACACGTGCCTGGCTTCCTGAATTTGGGGCCATAAAGACTGTCCAGAAACAATATTCCAGCAGGAGAATGGTCTCTGAACCCACAGATGGTCCTTCTGCTGTTGGAGACATTCGGCAGAGCGCAGGTAGACCTGTTTGCGTCCCAAGAGAATGCTCACTGCCCGAAGTTTGTCTCCAAGAGCAGGAATGCGCTGGCCCCGCTGCCCGGTCTATGCTTTTCCCCCAGTTTCACTCCTGCCTCAGGTTTTGGAATGAATCAGGGAAACCGGGTGCTCAGTGCTCCTTGTGGCTCCGCTCTGGACAAACCAAGCCTGATTCCCTGTCCTGATGCAGCTGACGAGCACTGCCCCATGGCCAATACCGATGAGGAAAGACCTCCTCTCCCAAGCTGGAGGCTCGATTTGGCATCCTCACCTGGAACGGTGGGCCCTGCACGCATGGGCCATCAACGGGTACCCGCAAACCTCTCCGAGGTTGTGTTCAACACAATCATGCAGGCTAGAGCACCATCTACCAGACGACTCTATGCTTCAAAGTGGTCTGTGTTTGCTGGCTGGTGCAAAGCCTGAGGATTTTTACCCATAGACAGTGGGGTGAAGGAAGTGCTCTCCTTCCTTCAAGAGCTGCTGGATAAGGGCAGAACCCCATCCAAGCTCAAAGTTTATGTGGCGGCCATAGCAGCGTTTACAAAACCCGCGACTGGCCTGTCAATAGGAAAAAACGACCTGGTCATCCGCTTCCTAAAAGGAGCTAAAAGGCTGAATCCTCCCTGACCCCCCCTCAATCCCCATGTGGGACCTTTCCACGGTTCTGGAAGCCATGAAAGGTGCCCCATTTGAGCCAATCCAGATGTTGGATATGAGGCACCTGTTGTTCAAAACAGCGTTTCTTATGGCTCTCGCTTCAGTAAAGTGCATAGGGGATCTACAAGCGCTCTCAGTGAGCGCGACATGTCTGGAATTTTGGCCTAATGACTCGAAGGTCATACTCAAACCAAGACACGGATATGTGCCTAAATCCCTCAACACACCGTTAAGGGCCCAGGTTATTTCCCTGTCTGCCCTACCACTTCAAAATGAGGAGAAAGGCCCTCCCTGTCTACATTTATAAGGTTTTATATCCTAGAGGTTACAGGTTTACAGGGTAAACTACTGTCAGTTTAAAATCAAGCATTGTCTGCCCCGCTGCGACAGCGCAGAATACTACAATTGCCTGAGCACCACTCGCTGACCGATAGAGTTTTCCCCATGGGCAAAATAATACCCATATTGTAACTCCTGTTAAGGCCGAACCTTTTTCACCCTGACTTTGTGACACTGTTACAGTGATTAGCTACCTTGGAGGCTAACTTACTGGGAGTCCACTTTCTCTGTGAGTCCATGGTGATTGTGCACTATATGAGCCCTGGCACTTGCCCTTGGGATTTTAGTGTTGGATCCCTGCAAGCACGGCATATTACATTGTGTTCCCCTAGCGTAAGATATTACACAGTACGAGAGAACCTCTCGTAAGAGACCGTACCTTGGTTACTAACGTACTACGCATCTTGTTGTACCGGCAACACGATCTGGTTCGCTTCGGCGATTAAACCAGTGATATCAGCCCATCGAGCTATATTTATAGGGCTAGGCCACGCCGATTCGGCGGGAATGTGACGCAATGGGCGCAAAGTGCCCCCATTGGACGGTCACCAAAGGGCCTCTCTCGATAGGCTGCTGCAGTTGCCGCAGGACAGCCAATAGGCAGGCTAAGCCGCCTTACATGCTGCCGCAACGCATTTTACATTAATTAAAAATTAAGGATCATTTTTGGCTTCAATATCTTGTGTAAAAGAGTTTTTCCCCGCAGCGTAAGATATTATGCAGTACTCGTTTCCTTTTCTAGAGAGAACCAAGATTACAATAGTAACCGAGTACGTTGTCCTACACGCGCCGCGGCACTTCTCATCCGGTGTGTGACTCCCTTAAACTAGCGTGACCATATTTTGATTACCGAAAACCAGGACACTCGGCCCGGCAATGAGATACTCAAATGATATGCTTCAAATGAAGATGCCTTATTAATTTCAATACAATTAAAGTAGGCTGTGCCTCCTCTGTATGGATAGAAAATTGTTTTATTACAAAATACTATTTATAACCAAAGACACAAATTCATTGGCTTCTCAGAGGTTACTCAACATGTTTTATTAGGACAGGTTTAAAAATAAATGATGATTCTACTGTATTAGAAAAATAAATAAATTAATAACTTTAAAAAAATACATCCAAAATTTAACAAAAATAGCTCACAAACTTACAAAAACTAACAAAAGATGTTTATATCTTTAGTTTTCTTCCTCTTTATCCTGTTTTCTTCCTCATCCTCCTTGTTTGCTCATCTATATTTTGCTGTAGATCTTTCCCAGCAGTTTTTTATTGCTTAACAAATAAGCATGAAAGTCTAAAGGCCCAATGAAAAATTATGAAAACCAGGACATTTTCATCACCTATAAAAAAGAGCCAGGAACGCCCAGGACAGGATGTGAAAACAGGACATGTCCTGGGAAAACAGGACGTATGGTCACCCTACCTTAAACCCAATCTGCAGAATGTGTAGCCACCCACCTTTGAACTCATCTCCGTGTCCATCACCTTGCAGATTACGCTATTTTATAGAAAGTAAATTGCGATTATTTTAGCTACTAGTCCTGACACGGGAAACGTGAGATTAATCTGTTAACAGGGTTTTTTTTGTGATCATATCCCATTTCTTTACTAATCTTATATTTGTATTTGCACTTTATTTTTTGTTCAAATCTGCCATCTGCATGTCGCAACAGGTTTAAGAGCTTTTCAGTTCTTCAGGAAACATTTCGACAGTGTTTCCCTATTTTGAAACCAGATAAACCTCACATGCTTGTCTTCCTTCACAAAAATGTGCATGCGCCTTGTGTTTGTCAGTATCCTTATGTTTGTTGTGTAAATAAGAAAAACTACATAAACAAAGTAGGTCTGATGATTAATTTGACTGATAACCCCCCCCCCCCCCCCAAAAAAAAAAAAAAAAAAAAATCTAACATCATAACAGCCCTAATGTGTAATAAATACCTTATACTTCATGACATTTGCTTTGAGGAGGCTGACTTCCTCCTGAAGCTGCATTAGCCGTTCATGCAGATATCTAAAAAAAGAAGATAATTGATATTGATTATTATTAAGCACTGACACAGCCAACTACGGTCATATCACTGCCTGTAACATCTCCACCAGACCACTAGAGGTCAGTCTTGCCACAATTCTGATCACGAGTGCAGCAGGGATGACCAGTAAGAAGTGTTCCAAATGATGAAGTGCACTGATACACCACACACTTAAACAATGCACCATACTTTTTTTTAGTTAAAGAAGTCCATTATCCAGCCATTTGGAGTGCAGTGCACTTTTTCTCGTTTTTAGGGAATTATAGGTGTGTACATGCTATACATACTACAAGAAATCGGACACCTACATTTTTGTAGGCCAAAACTTGGAAACAAGTTAGCATTTTAGCACTGGTGCTAAATATGTGTACATCCTGAACATCCGACCAACACTGACCTGTTCTCCATACAAAGAGCATCTATATCCAGGATGCGGTTCTCATTGCTACCCAAGATGTGGTTAATTTCCAGATTTAGTCTGTGAGCTTTCTCCTGGTAGACATTACGCTCTGCTCTCACATCATGAAGTTCATCTGTGGCTGCTTTTAAGCTTTGTTCCAGTGCTTCATTCTACAACATCATAGGGCAAGGACAAAGAACTATATTAGTGTATCTTTGTTTAGTTTGTACCTCAAATCTATGATAAAAAAAAGTGAGACATGGCACATTAAGATATTTTGAGTCCTTAAAGTCCCCCTGTGGTGAAAATCCAGATTTTAGGACAAACCATGTGCAAATTCATAAGTCAACATCATTGTTGAGTATTTTCTTTAAAACTGGAGTGAGCCAAAGACAGTCTCAAAATCACAGTTTGAAATCGCTGGTGTTTCCGATTTCACAAACCACCTTGTTACCAATCACGTCAACGTGCGATCATCAGCGAGTGGATCTCTGAGCTGGTGTGAGTGAGTGGAGGCAGGGCTAATTTGCATATTCAAATACTAAATGAGGCAAGGGTGTACCTTTGAGTTACATTCAAGCTATTTTAAGGCATGAAGCATTTTTTTAAAGAAAAAACATTTCAATATGTAATTTTAGTGATCAAAGATTAGTTTTAAGTGACAACAGGGGGACTTTAAGATTGATTTGAACCCAAAATGTGTAGAACGCCAAAGGCAATATACCTGTTCTCGAGCTTTCTCTAACTGGTGAACAAGATCTTCTCTCTCATGGGCTGGAAAGTGACGAGCCCCGACCTCTTCGTCCCCTAGACGCTGCTTTGCAATGTTCATCCTCAGCAGCTGTGTGATGAAAAGACTACATATATCTATGCTATAAACCACAATAAATGAACTGTGATCAAAATGTTGAAGCCTCATAAGCATGCGACTACACATCAAACATCTGCATATGATTTAGTCATGCGAAAAAAATGACCTGACCTGTGTGTGCAAAGGCCATACCTTGTTATCACCCTGCACTTCTGCTAAACGTTGGTTCAGTTCTTTAACCTCGTCACTCAGCTGTTTGTTCTGTTCTCTCGAGTCTCTCAGTAACTGTGCCAGATTGACCTGTGGCGAACACAGGTCGAACAACACATTTGACTTTTCAACACGTAATGCAAACAAAATTCCATTTATTTGAATAACATCAGATGAAAGTAATGAATACTGCTGGTTTGACTATTACACTGTTATATTTTGTTAACATATATTCAGATGTATACATAATAAGGCATCTTTATAGAGATTATAGAGTTAAGGCTGCTCTGTGCCTGCTCAAAATTCTGTAAAAAGATGTAATGCTGCATTAAAGCCAGGTATTATGCCTCCTCTGACCTACCTTAGCCCCTAGCGTCAAAGCATAAAGCTGAAATTGCTGTATAAATGCATTTATGCACCTCTGAGCAGCATTAAAGGTCTGTGTAAAAACACTTAAATGCCAATTTGGCACAAAAGCATCTTACAGAGGATATATATTTAGACATGTTTATGTAAATGATAATAACAAACATACTTGCTTTCTTTTTTCAGGAGGCAGAGAGGGGTCACCGTCCTATTAATGGGGAAAAAAAAAAGTTTAAAAAGTTCATATAAATCAAAGTTCTGCCATGAATTCTAATCTAGGTGCCGGCTGATGTTTCCTTAAAGGAGTAGTTCACTTTAAAAAAAAACTTTTGCTGATAATTTACTCACCCACATGTCATCCAAGATGTCCATGTCTTTCTTTCTTCAGTCGAAAAAAAATTAAGGTTTTTAATGAAAACATTCCTGGTAACCAAACTTTACTGGTAACTAAACGGTTCAAGGTCCAAAAGACAGTTTCAGTGCAAACTGCAAACTGTTCAAAGGGCTTTAAATGATTCCAGACAAAATGAACAAATCTTTTCCTGAGTCAATTCGTTCATTTCGTTCGTTGAATGAACCAAATGACACGAAAAAAGATTCGTTCATTTTGATAAACGAGTTTGAACAGGAGAGTCACAAACGGAATCACAGAACAGAGCAAGGCAAACCACTCATGATAAAACTTAAACTTTTGTTTTGTTTGTTTTTTTAAATGAGCGATCGTTTCACTTGATAAGACCCTTATTCATCATCTGGAATTGTTTAAAGCCCTTTGAACAGTTTACAGTTAGCACTGAAACTGTCTTTTGGACCTTGAACCGTTTGGTTATCAGTAAAGTGCAATGGAGAAAAATCCTGTAATGTTTTCATCAAAAACCTTAATTTCTTTTCGACTGAAGAAAGAGTGACATGGACATCTTGGATGACATGGGGGTGAGTAAATTATGCTTGCAATTACGTCATCACGTTTTTTTGCTTGCAATCACATCAGTAGCTGGGTTTCCATCCAAACGTGAAGCGAATTTGATCAGAGTTAAAAAAAAAAAAAAGTGTTTCAAACAAGTATCAAGTTGTTCAAGCAGAGGATAGTAGTATTGGTAACCTATTTACCAACAGTAAATAAAATACCATCAGTGGAAACAGCCTATTAGTCATGGGGGTTTATGTTCACTATGTTAGAATTTATTAAGCAAATGAGTTTCCATCTCCCATTGTTCAAAAACCACCTCAAGCGAGCGTAAATTTGTTTTTTTGGTTTTTTTGAGAATAAAGGGATTTTTTTCTCCCTCGAAATGTGGCTTTTCCATCATTTGTTTATAAATGCGATACTTCTAAATGCGCATCAAAACAGGGTGATGGAAACATTCTCTAAAAGGCACAGCTGATTGGTTCAAGCCGTATCAGTAGCCAATAAGCTTGCAGCTTAACCTTTAAATACTTGGTCAGCATTTGCTATAGCAGTGCAGCTTGCTTTCAGAAATCCTCTAAACACTAAATTGAAATGACAGAAACACACTTCATTATAATTGAAGTGTATAATGAAGTGTATACACTTCATTATACACTTATGAAGTGTATATAAATATAAATATACACTTATGAAGTGTATATAAAGTGTTGAATACATTGCAAAAAATGTATAGAATAGAATAGAATAGAATAGAATAGAATAGAATACAATAGAATAGAATAGAATACATACTATTAGCTCTCTGTACTTTTTCTTCAGCCCTTGGTGGCGCTCACGGAGCTGGTTTGCCATCAATTTGAACTGATCCCTTTCCTGCTGGCAGGTGTCCAGTTCTTTTGATAAGATCAGCAGTGCCTCCTTCTTACTCTCCAGTTTTCTCTTGCATACCAGGAACTAGACACAGGAAAAAAAAAACAATGGGGCATTTAATGATCCAATTTAATGTCACCATTGCCAAAAAAAAAACAATGATCAAAGTGGGGTTTTGCACTGTTTTTCAACTAAATAACCTGAGCTTTGATTCCATATGTTTTGGGAACTGCATGTTCTTTAATAACATTTTAATGTAGGAAGATACTTAATGTTACTTTTTAAATTATCAAACAGTTACTGGTTAAAGGGCAATTAATGGCCCTGACCCACTGTTTAGATCCAATTCAATTCAAATGTATTTGTATAGAGCTTTTCACAAAAGGCTAAATATTGTTTCAAAGCAGCTTTACAGAAAGTGCATTTCAGAGATGTACATGGACTGTTATAAAGGACTAATTAAGTCCTACCTTTAAATTAAAACAACCAATCCATTGAAATTAGGCTATGCACTATCATACTTAGCCTATACGTTCACACAATTAGAAGGCAACTCTCCTAAATTATGTGCGTGTATGATTTGTGTTGCATAAGGAGATTTTATATCAGTCTGTAATAGTGCAACATTGCAGTTTAAAATCATTACTTGCAAGATTTAATTTGCATGCCAGGTCTACCCTGAATTCATGCAGCGCCGTTCATGGATCTTGACGAGAAGATTTAAGTTAATCCCTCCGCAGATCATGTCGTGTCAGACCTTACGTGTTTGATTTATTATTATGCAAGATATTTAAAGATGTAATGAGAAATATACTACTTACTATTCGATAAGAGGACCAAGCGGTCACAAGAAAATATGAAAACACGGGTAACGTTATGCTACAGTAAAGGGTATGTCTCTGTAGCTAACGTTACATCAGCGAATCGTATTTAGAAAAATCAAGCCATTCAATTTTACACGTCAAGTCAGTGAATTCATTGAAACCCATATTATATGGTTAATATAAGCATCCTTTAACGTTAACTATGTTGATGATGATAGGGTGCAGAGGAGCATGAAGCATCAATATGTCTGCGTTTCCTACCTCATTCACCAGTCCCTGCCAATCACTTTCGCTTCTTCTGGAAGGATTCATTTTGGGTCAGAGAATATTCTTCTAAATAAATATGTCAATAACGACAACTATCACGTCCTATGCATCTATTGCGAAGAGGATGACACGATTACATGTTTCATCGATATCATGGACATCATTTCCGGCTGGGATGGCCAACTGTATGGCAGCGTGTCCCTTTAAGGACGCGATTCACGTGGTGACTGCTGCAAAAGCCAAAGAATATCATGTGGGTAATGTAGATTTTTACTTTAAGTTATGTGACCAATGCTTCTATGGCTTTAATTAAACTATAAATTATCGTTGCGAATGCATTTATTTTGCTGCAACTTGTTTTTACATAATGAATTTCACATGTTGTAGCTTGTGATTATAATTATCTAAGCTAAGGCATATTATTTTGTTCCATATTATTTTATTAGGCTTAATTGTTTGAGATGAGAAAAATCTGCTCAGAACCGATCACTGGTGATCAGCGCAGGCCATTGTAAACATAGTTGATCTACGTCATAATTGGCTTTATGCACAGCTCAGCTGCACTACTTCCTCAACTTAAGCCAGCTCCTTGTTTCCGGTCTTCCATTATTGGACAAACTTGATTCATGCAGATGTGCCTGATTATTGTTGTTGTGACTACTGAGGTCAGACACACCTGGATTAATCAGTTTTTCCAATAATGGCAGACAGGAAACACGGAGCTGGCTGAAGTTCAGGAAGTAGTGGAGCTGTGCATAAAAGTGAAGGTGAGAGAGGACACGGCAGAGAGCGAGAGACCTTGCGTGTGTGTCCACTGAAAGCTACATCCCCGTCAACAACCCTGTCAAGCATCATTCTCGTGTGTTTGGGATCCCGGAAGAACCAATGAGGTTTTTTCTGAGATGTGAATCAGGTTCGGTTGAGCTTCTGTTTTATGTTTGCTGACTAATGTTTAAATATGTGAATAAAACCCTAAATTAAATCTGTCCATAAAGTGTCTAAAGTCTCTTTAGAAATTTTTTTACTAAACCACTCAATTCATAAGGATTGGGTTTACAATCTCTTTATTAACTTTTTGAAGCATATTTCATCAAAAAGATCTTAATTTGTTTTCTGAAGATGAACGCAAGTACGTGTTTGGACCCGACATGAAGGTGAGTAATTAAGCTAATAACAGTATTATCATTTTTGGATGAACTATCCCTTTAAGATTAACACTTATGTTAAGGTTAAACTAGGCTCTCTCTCTCTCTATCCCTATACTGTATAATAATACTAATGTGCACATAATGCGCAGCAGACAATAATATACTGTAGATATAGGCCATTACTGTGCTCAAATCTGTGACATTCTGCTGATGCAGTCTTATTTTATCACACCTAAGTGCTCTGTCACAAAGAATGATGCTGCTGACTGGCTGGTAAAGTGATCCTTGTGAACACAAGCAGTTTCTCACTGTCAAGGAGTAAAGTGTCATCTGGAATGTCCATTTTATGTGCTTATTTCTTATTATGTTCTGTGTTTATATTGACAGTATGGGACAGTGATGCATTCATGACAAGCTGCTAAACCATTTATGCAGTTGGCTTCTTTGTGAGAAACTGAAAATGCATTCATGTGAATGAGAACCAACAAGAATAATTGAGCAAATCAATAGAAGATGCTGTTTATTATCATTAACATATTTCAAATCTACATTCAGTATATTATTGCTCAGCCAGATACAGTTATAAAACTGACAAAAAGATTCTGTAAAATAAATAAATAAATAAATTAAGGCTTTCATTCGCCAAAGGCAATAACATTGAGGGTCTCTACTGATTAATAGCACTAGTCCGCACCAAAAACATGCTTGCATACAGTCAAACCTAGCTAATAGTTCACAGTCTTTTGAATTGAAGTCTGAGTCCCTACCTTTGGTGAACCTAATATTTCACAATTAAATTATTTAAAAGAGCCCTGATACGATCGAACATTCAGGTATTTTCAACATCTGAATAAATTAAGCTGCAGTGTGTCATTTATTCAAACTTTAATAGAAAAATGTTGCATAAATAGCTTTCGCAAGACTAGAGAATAGAGATGTGCACTGTGTTTCAGCCTTTTTGTTGACAAAACATTACATTCATAAATATCAAGGTTAAATGTATGCATATATTGAGGAATTGAGTTTTAGCATCTGACCAGATGGAACAAATAACAGCACATGCATCATTTGCTATAATCCACTGCAATATGTTCAAAAACCTTGGTTTTGCCTTTGAAACTGGTGGCCAGCACAAAATCACGCTGGTCTGTTGACAGCGCGGTAAATGAGCGTGGCCATTGAACATACACATCCCTGAACTTGATAAAACTCTGATCCTCCTCATCCCATCTGAAGATCTGGGAGAAAGAATAATCACTGCTCAGAATCAAATAGTGCTGGTCTTTGAACTTGATGGGCTGCAATACCATGGCGCCACGTGAAGGGAAGCCCTGCACTTCTTCAAAGTGTTTGCCGGTCCACTTCATGACTTTTGAGTCACCGATGTAGCAGGCGAGGGCAAGGTAGAGAACGTCCTTAATCCTAAAGGCCTTCACGCTGACAATGTCGTCCATATTTGCTATCTCATCGTGTAGAACAAACTTTTGGGTGCCCTTGTTCCATTGGTAGATGACAGGAACCTGGGAGCGGCTCACTAGTATGAGAAGAGATTTCCCATCTAAATAAAAAAACTCTGCATCGGTATCACGAAACCACTCATGAAGGAACTGATATGGGTAGAAACCAGTTTCGTTCCATTTAAACAGAGTTGTCATTCCAGCTTTGGAACTGTCCACCATAAGGAAGAACCAGTCATCTCCAATCTGGAAGACTTCAATGTCATTTGGCTTGGACACATTAAGCATTTCAACTGCTTGAAACTTGGTGAACTTATTCTGTGCTTGGTCGTATTTGTAGACAAGGGAGCCATCGAAGAGCTGGGAGACGATTACAAGTGCCTGATCATTGATCACAACAGACCTGCACCCAACAACAGACCGTCCTGAAATATAATATATTAAAAAATTAAAATAAACTTCTATACTCTTTCATAGTTATGATATATGACAAATGGACAGCGTTAACAGTGTCAAACCTGTGATTTCATCAAAAGGCCTGAAATTTGTCTCAATGTGATCCCATTCCATGATTATGCAGCTGTCTGAATTTGGAACTGCTATAGCAACATATATATCATCTTTGTGAAAGAAGATGTCTGCTGACATGGATTGAGTATTCACTATCTGATGCTGAACAAAATCTGAAGGGAAAAGAAACAGACATAAAGTATCACATTTATTCACGGTCGTTAAACAAGTGTGAACAAATCGCATTTCACCATGAAATTGAAATGGACAATTCTTGTTTTTTTTTAATGATTTTATATGTGCACGTCATAATTAAATTGTTTGATTGTTTTTAAATCCATGTGCCTTCGTAATTTTCCCTTCCTCTTGCAGAGACTCTTCTCTGATGACATAATAGCTGGCGAGAGGGCAGAACACCTGTCACTCACATGACATCACAGCAATGGCAAACCACAACAGTCCAACTATCAAATCAATTCCTGATGGACATGATCAAGCCCTGCCCTACATTTTTTCTTGTTCGAGAAACAAAGTTCGTTTCACAATGAGGAAGAAAAGAATATCGCAACTTTCTTTTCACGGCATTTATTAAAAATTCGACAGAAATAAATCTGAGAGTTACCTGTGGAGACACACTTGCTGTGTTTTTCTGGGACATCCTTTAATGGGACACCTTTCATGGCAGATGGACTGGCGCAGTAAACATCTGAGATTGTGGCATTGGATCGCTTCAACCACAGCATCAGCCACATGGACTCACAGTCGCATTGGAACATGTTCCCTCGCAGGTCTCTGTTTATTAGACATGAAATAATTAATACACAAGTTATCCGCTTGGCAAAAGTTGTTGATGACGTGCACATTTGCAATAGTGAACTGAAGAACTCACAGTTCAATCAAAGAGCGCAGATCAGAAAAAAGACCTCTGGGCAATGTTTTTATATTGTTGTTTGCTAATGATCTGTAAAACAGAGAGGAAATTAATCAATACACACAGACACATTTATAGTTTATACTTATGTATGCAAGATAAATCAGGATTTTTAAGCACCAATGTACTTTATAATTAATAATACTCAATTAATAGCAGTCAGCAGTGTATCATTTACATTTATCCAAAGTGACTTACAAAGCATTCATCAAAGAGCCAACAATGGTGGTACACAATGCCAGGTTTATTATACAACTAGATTAGGAAAATCCATTATGCATGATGTGCACTGCATTCTATATCACATTATGTAGTGCAAATAAAATAAAATATTAAACAAAAAATATATGACCTACTAAATTGAATATTTGATGCCAACCATAACTCTACGACTACGTACATAATCTAAATTAATGTTCTGCAATGTCTTAGCCTTTCCTTGCTGTATGTTATACTCACAGATGTGTAACATCCCGAAGTCCTCTGAAGGCATATTGGTTTATCTCTTCAATTTTGTTGCCCTCAATAAATCTGGTTGGAGAAATAAAATACATCGGCAAGAATTTCAGTCAATCACTCTGCACGGATAATTATCAAGATATCCAACAAATATGTGGATCTAAGTTAATCAGTAATATATAAATGGAAAGTAATCCCTTTTTTCATAAATGTAACTGCAGAAAAGCTGTTCAAACACTTACAAATACTCAAGATGAGGAAGCCCTGAGAATGCATCCTCCTTTATTTCAGAAAATGAATTAGAACTCAGGAGACTGAGAAGAGAGAGAGAGAGAGAGAGAGAGTGAAAAGATACCAGAAAATAGCCATGATGCATAAACTATCACAATTAATACCCGCCCCATACATAGCAGCCTACAGAAATTACCTAAATTTTACAACATAACAAAGCATGCCTTGAATTTAATGTGTTTCTAATGTAGATAAACAGGTAGGCTAAATTTAATAAAGTGATGCAGCAGTCACTTACATTAACTGCAGTGAGGGCATGAGCGAAAACATAGCCTCCTTGATGTCTGGGAAACTGCAATTAACAATACTCCTACAAATAATAATAACAAATAAATAAATATTGCACTTTCATTATTTATTTATTTTTTCACTACGTGCGCGTTGAGTTTCGAAAACACAAATATTTTATAGGCTTGGATGTCGCACCATCTTTATGTTTGATACTGTACAATTTTATATGCATTTTCGCTAAAAAAAAATGTTACGAGAACATAATATTACACTTACAGAGAGTTGATGTCACTCGGTATGGTCCGGGGGATGACAGAAGAACCAACACAAATGACTGAATCTGTCGTGCAAGTGCATCCTGAAGGACATTTTATTATGCGCTTTGATCGAACCAGTTGAAATGAAAAAAGGAATAGTAGTGTTACCAAAAGACACTTCCGGGTGGAAGAAAATTTATCGTTTGTAAGATCCATGGCTGTGTGCGAAGACGAAATCCAAACGCTCCCCTGTCCTGTACAGTGAACTGCAGCACGAAAGACTGACTTCAGAATCAGCAGCAGCTCTGATGCAGTTGTGCTTTAGACTGTCCCATTGGAGGAGGCCTCACACATTCAATAATACAATTTAAAGTAGCCTGTAACCATTAGATTAGATCATGCCACTGCTGTTTGTTTGTGTTTGTCCTTGCCTTAAGATTATTTTAAAATGTGCTAATTATTGCATTTTTAAATTACACCTCTTCCTGTTTTTTTCCTTGCCACATGCTATTAACTTATATAGGCCTAAATGAAATGTCATATCAGCAAAATGGTGCTTTATCTGCATAGAGAAAGTTTGAAAATGCACAGAAGATCTCAGCAATGAAAACGTGGGTAAAGTGGAATGTATGGCAATGACACAGCAATTCTTTGAATGAATGGCGCTGTGTCTTCTATTATAGACAAGCTTAAGCAACATTTGGTCATTACTTTAGATTATAATAAACTCAAGCTGTATTTGTGTCCTCCATCAATTTCCCTAAAGATTGAACTAAACGATGCATAACATAAGTCTCAACAATCTCTCTGGCAACCAGACATCAATATTACAGAAAATAATGGACTCTACAGTATGCATACCATTAATCATTAAGAAGCATATCTGATTTCAGCATGTAAGTGCTTTCTATCTATATGACTAGGGGAGGTGCTTAAATGTCTGAGACTTCTGCAATCTGGCACTTATGAAGTAGGTATAAGTGGTTCTCAGCTGCTTTACCTGCAGACCAAACTCCCAATGCATCAATGTCCATCAAATCAGTCACCATAACAGACTCCTAGCTATATTTAAAGACAAGTCAATACAGACTACCTCATCAAAAAACAACTAAGGAAATACTGAAACCAGTCAGCACCTTAGTCTGCTTTAAAACATAATTCAGGCATTGTCTATTTAGTATGACAAAGAAAAGACTTTTAACACATTGTCACTAAAGCTTTAAAGATCATGGGTACAGATCTCCCCCAGCACATAATCTAACACACCAATAGACTACACATAAAAAGATGACCATCCATCTAACTCATAACAGCAACTCCCCTCACATAGAAGCTGGAAATCATTAAAAGCTACAACATCCATCAATAAAGAACCGTTTCTTTCAAACAGCTGATAAAGAGTACTCAATAAATCTCCTTAAAATAACTGTATTTTAATATTTCAACTAACTTTTTAAATGTACATGGCACATTCATTGTGTTTTTATTGCAGAGTAGCTTATTGTAGGCCTACATTGCATGCAGTAGGTAGGCTACTTGCATAGGAGTTGTGCCACATTCTGACCCCCTGCCATGTTATTAACCCCAGTATGGGTAGGTTTAGGATTAGGTATGAGGGTGGAGTTAGTATTAGGTAGTCAGGTATCAGCCACAACACTATTCTATTAGGCTATATTTTAGTCTAAAATAACAACAACAAAAAAATATCAAACAACGTGTCAGGCATTTTTCAAACGCTTCCCGGTTTACTATCACTCTCTCCAAACACCTCAACAAGAAAATTCCAGAATGGACTCTTCATTGTGGAAGAAAGAGAGGGCAAAGGCGCGTGCCTGATGACGCAGTCACTCTTTTTGCCGAGTATCATGGGAAAATAACATAGCAGGCTAGCACGCGCAGGAAGAGAGAAGAACCGACACCTCCGTGTAGCGAAACTACCCCCGTGCGTTATATTCACCACTTACCTCCTCGAACAAGTGTAAACCGGCGACCAGAAACCACGTTTAAGTTAACTGTCCAACATATCGTTAATTGTTTACGGTTGTTGTTTGTTTCATTTGTCGGCTTATTGGTACTTAGCGCGTGTCGCTGTCGAGCGATTTCGCGGAAGAGGTGGGTATAGTTAAATTTACCTTTCATATACCACTACAGACATCCTCCACTCTTTATTACACTGAAATGTTCGCACTTATTTGAAAGTGGTCGTCGTTCTACCCTAACAGAAAATAGTGGAAAAGTATATCAATGGCAGGCGATTTAAATAGAGTTAGGGCTTGAAGCCGGTTAAGTTAAGAGGGGACCGTCTTTTCTGCCCGATAGCCTTTATCCATGTCTCCCACCGCTTATACTTATCTGTATGTCTGCTCTTTGTGTTTTTACATTAGGTCAGTATCGTCCGTGTTTCAGACACCAAAGCCCATCGAGATTACATTCAGAAGATAAGAAACTTTTCATCCAGCGAGACTACAGTCGACGGCGGTGTAAATATGAGTTACAAGCCGATCGCCCCCGCACCCACCGGCTCCAACCACACTCCACCAGGTGAGTTTCATTGTGTTCTCTGTTCATTCATGATTTTTTTAACTTGGTTAACTCGCATCTGTGGTAATGTGTCTTATCACATTTTCTAATGCACCGTTTTTAATCCCGGGGAAATGGGTCAGTGAACCTTCTGTAAAAGAGGTCAGAGTCACGGATAAAGGGGGAGGAGTTAAAGGAGCCATAGCCATCTGAAATAGTCTGCTGCTATTGGCACTTTACCGCGTTTATTCTTAAAAGCTAAGTGTTGTCTTACCCGTATGTGTGAGTGTGTCATGCTATCACGTCAGTGCATCATCTGATCTTGTCTGTATCTTTCCTCAATTCCTTCCATACTCACACTGGGTGGCGAGATGTCATTGGTTGAAATTGTCCTTTTGACATTTTCATGGTTTGTGATTGGTCTTCCTATTGCTCTTTGGTTTTAGGATCATGTGGCTCATCTCCATCTTTGGCCTCCTCTTCTAACTTTAGACCAGCATTTAGTGACTTTGGTCCACCATCAATGGGCTTTATACAAGTAAGTTAAGTTTTTGATAACAGTGGGATTTTAACTTGTTTGCAATCTTGAAATGATTCCCAGTGGATTATGTCTGTTTTAAATGGAATATATATATATATATGTGTGTTTTCACAATACCAAAATTGTTATTTCGATACCGATACCAAATGAAGAATTGCGATTTTGATACTTTTTCGATACTTTTCCTGAAAAGTTAATGAATAGGAAAAGTAGCTATTTTTCTATAGCTACTTAATATGAATAAATCACTGATTTTAGCTGATGTTTTGTTTGCTTTATTTTAACAGCTTGCAAATTATTAATGTTATCTATGAAAGTTGTACACGTAATACAAAAATAAATAAAACATCTCCAGTTAACTAGCAGAGCATTCATTTAGTTTGCTGTAAAATACGAGATCTAGCGATTACATCTGTTGTATTTTAAATCAAGCTGAGCGCTCGTGTCCGCTGCTTTTAGTGTCATGGATACAGTGTCTTTAGTGGCTCGTGCACCGTCTTCACTCGGATGCGTGCTTCAATCTATCTCCATTGTGGAGACTTCGTTCTGGTAAAATCACAAAATAAAATGCACACAAAGTGTGCCCGCGTACCAGGCTGCCGGATGGTGTTGCTAAGATCTAGGGGTGTCCCAGCCTAAGGATTTTAGTCGAATCAGAATCGCCAAGTCCTGCCTGTATTGGACTAATAGTCGAATGGTGTTGATGAGGGGGCGGGGCTTAACATTTTTAAAGCCGCAATGTACAAAACATCACGCAAAGATATAGAAGAAAATGTATAAAAAAACAAACATTTTGGATCAATAAAACTAAAAAATAACATAAATAACTGCAGAAAGCCCACACTGCAGATATGATTTGCATTTCATATGCAAATCATATTAAATCGGCTGAATTGCCTGTATGAGCACGCTCAATAGGCCTACAGCGCAACATCAATGTACTTAAAAATAATCAACAATTAAGAACACAATATACATTTATAATAAATAAAAATACAAAACGAAATTAGTCAGAATCAAGTCACAAGATGCAGAAAAAAATGCCTAAAGTGCAGGGGAATATTATATTACTAAAAAAACTTAAAAAAGAGACTGCAACCGGACTCATGCGAAAACAAGAATACACATCGGAAGGACATTACATGTTGTCACGCGATGCTGACGTTGTTAACAAAGTATAATTTATAGGGTATTGTGTGATATAAGCACTTTTTTGTTTTTTTTAGATTTAATCAGCACGATTTACTGCAATGTCAGAACCAGAACAAAAGTGGATGTTACTTACTTGTTCAGACAACATTTGCCGGTGAAAATTCGTATGTTGGTCATACTTCCAAAAAGAATAATCTGTGATTCTGAATGACAGTATCCACACTGGTGCAGTGATTGACAGCTGCACAGTGTCCTCAAACATTGTGTTCATCCGCACTGTGAGGTGTCGAACTACAACTCTCATAGAGTGAATAATCGCGATATATATCGCGAATAACTGCTATTGCAGATTTCGAACAGAGATGGCGACAAAGAGGAAAAACTGTGGACTGCAGCTTTAACTATATCATGTTATAAATATAGAAACTGTAAAAATGTCAATTGTCATTTACTCATCCTCAAGTTGTTCCAAACCTGTATGAATTTTTTTCTTCTGTTGAACACAAAGGAAGATATTTTTAAGATTGACTTTGATTAGTATTTTCTTTTTCTCCATACTGGAAGTCAATGGGTCCCCACAACTGTTTGGTTACAATTTAAACATTCTTCAAAATATCATGTTCTATGTTCCATATCAAATAAATTTATTCAGGTTTCGGAAGTTTCTTTGTGTGTGTGCACTGCTTTTTTTTTTCTCTCTCTCTCCGAGAAGCTGCACATGCCTCAACAGTGCAACCGTGTTACAGTCAGTCATTACATTATTATCCACTATCAATCACCACTAAATTAAATAAAATCAGGATCATTCTAGCGTTTTTGGTGATTCCAAAGTTTTTTTGTTTATTGACGTTTTAATCATGCTACTTGTCCGGTCTGGCAAGTAAAATTCTCTCAAGTCACTTGTTACTCCTGACCCCCTCCCCACTCCACTTTTCCTGGACAAACTTTAATGTTGAGCCCTGTCTTGTTTTCTGTAGCCAGTTAAAGTGTCCCAGGGATCTACGTATAGTGAGCTGCTCTCCGTCATTGAGGAGATGAGCCGTGAAATTCGTCCTACCTACGCTGGCAGCAAAAGTGCCATGGAGAGACTGAAGAGAGGTAGACCACACCCCTTCTGAATAAAGGGCATGCAGCACATTGGTAACATTCAGTGACGTTTAGCCCCCTGGAGGAATGTAAGCCTAAGGGCAGTCATGATAGTTTTTCCAAGACGGTTTTTCAGTTCTTCACATGGGATCAGACTTGCAGCGTTTCTTTCGTTCAGATTAGTTATTGAAGTTCAATTACATATAAAAGATGCCATCTTGTGTCTGACATGTAGTAATTTTGTTTATTTAATAAAATACGTTATTTCAAGGATAAAAAAAGTTACGATGCATACAATCTGCTGCTTGGTTCATTAGCAAATGGTCTGTCATGCTTCAAAACATTAACCTTTGAAATGTCTAATGTGTTTCTGTCTTTCTTTAGGTATCATCCACGCACGTGCTCTTGTCAGGGAGTGTCTAGCGGAGACAGAGCGAAGTGCTCGCACATAACACACACACACCCTCCCCCCCCTCTGGTACTTGTCTCCTCATTGTTCTGTTTCTCACAGACATGCTCCTTCTCTTTGCCAAGCTATTTACAACACCATCTCTTTCTATCTTTCTTATCGACATTTGTCCATTATGCATAGTTATCTCCCAGATCTACACGTCATGTAGTTTCACTGCAATTAGCATAGAATTTTTTTAAGCCCGATTTTTGCAATTCTGTATTTAAATAAAAATATAAAAAAATACTGAACCAATTTGCCAGATTTTTAATTACACTGCATGCAAGAAGTGCTTGTTTAAAAAAATGAGTAAATCATTTTATTTGGCTTCAGTCACAACATAAATGCAGCAACATGTATTTAAAAAGCAATTTGAAAATATATTTTTATTTGTAGTGACATATAGGTTTAACTGTGACAATTGACTACACAAAAATGTGAACGAGTATACGTGTTGTTTCACTGATGGGGGAAGTATATTCTTTTACATGTGCTATCACAGTGTTAACAATGTGTCTTTCACTAATATATTTCACAGGCGTTTTATTTATTTCCTTTATCTTTCAAGATTAAAATATAGTATACATACAAAGGCAATAAGGGTAATAGCAATACAACTAATAAACACGATAAATACAAAAGAATAACGCAAAAGGGGGGAGAGTAGGTATAGTCACAACAATCGCATTTTATCATCATCCGATTGCCTTTCAGCTTTGTTTCTTTCAGGCTGCCCTTGTTAAAGAGCACCAACCATAATGCACTGGGTTGTGACGTTTCCATCAGCTATATCCAAAAAGTGAACATACAAGGCTGGTATTCACACATTCCTGGTTCGTAGGAGTTGCAGATCCCATTGATAACAATGAAAATGAGCATTGTTCAACAAATGATGGGTAACTCTCAGAGATAAATGGATGGCCAGACCATTCAAAGCTATGCACTGGATGCACTCTTGTCAATTTACCAATTAAACATGATTAAGGGGATGATGGGTTAAATAAACATATGAGGGATACATTTATCAGAGTGCATATGCTGAAATTTAACAGTGCATATCTCCTTATAAATGGAAAATTGGATATTCATCTTTGTTTCAGCCCTGAAAAGAGGAAAACAACACAGGTTACTTAATGGAGCAGCTTTTTTTCTGTTTAACAATATTATACACTCTTCGTAGGTCGCATTTGAGATAAAACTAACCGTGGTAGCTGCAGCAGAGGCTTTGTCGCTGTAGCTGAACAGGTTTTTGTAGCGTCCCTTCTCCTCCTTCTGTTTTTCCCGAATGCGTTCCTCCATTGCTCTCAACTCCTTTGCAACTGAAGTTTCAAGTGATGGTTCCAATGTAATCACTTTGGCAAAGTCAGCTCTTGCCTCTGCTTCATTCCATACCGCTGCATGAGCTTTCCCTCGTTTGAAATATGCCTTCACATTATCTGTGAGAAAGACAAGAATGAGTATGGGCATTTGAAATACAATATAACAGTTCCCATGGTGCTCAAGTTAACTGTAGCTTGTTTGTAAAGAACATAATATTATCAATAATATCAAATTTAGGACCAAGAAATTAGACTTCCCTAAAAGTGGGGAAAAAAGTGCTTCTTTGAGAGGCCTAGCTTTTTCCCCCCACTTCTAGCGAAGTGCATTTCTTGGTAAGTACATGAGTATATGTGATTGTACTTGTTTTGATATTTACCCTCATACTTGTTGATGATAGAAGAGCAGTGGTCCAAAACCTCATAGTATTGGCCCAGCAGAAGCTTGCACTGGCAGTAGTTGAGGAGGAGAGGGGTGATCATGAGATCTAGTTTGATCCATTGCTCATCACCTGGACGCTCCTTTGAACAGGGAATATATGTTTTAAGTAAGTTGAAATTTAAAGGGATAATCCACCCAAAAATGAAAAATCTGTCATTAATTACCCTCCCCCTCATGTCGTTCCAAACTCTTAAGACTTGTTCATCCTGAAGATATTTTTGATGAAATCTGAGAGCATTCTGTCCCTTCATAGACAGATACGCAACCACTTTGCACAAAAAAGTGTTCATTTGAAAAAGTTCATAAAGAGTTAGTAAAACTAATCCATAATAATCCAAATTTTCTGAAAAGACTCGTTTGCTTTATATGATAAACAATTTTGATTTAAGATTAATCACATATACACATTGATTAGAGAACTTAAACAGAAGCTCAACTGAACCTGCTTGACATGCGAGAACAAACCTCACTGGTTATTGCACATCAAGCGAACAAGCCTTTACTACAACTGATGTGAGTTGATGATGAATGTCTAAATTATAAATTCAAAGTTCATCATATAAAGCGATCGTGTCTCTTCAGAAAATGTGGACTAAACTGCTCAATTAATATGGATTAGTTTTACAATCTCTTTGACCTTTTTGACAATCTTATGACCTTTTTAAAGCATCAAAGTAGTTGTGTAGCTGTCAACGAAGGGACCGAAAGCTCTTAGGCCCCGTTTACACAAAGGGAAAACGCAGAAACAGAGTTTTTATCACAGAAAACGATTATTTCTAAAAACTCCGGCCAAAGAGGAGATTTCTGAAAACACCGGTTATGTGTTGTTGTCAACTGGGAGAAACAGGGTTTTAGGTTCTCTTGTCGATTCTGAGGATTCTGATTGGCTTGCATGGTTTTATCCTTCTCCCTACACTACCGCCCATAGGTTTGGCTTAGTTATGATGGCGCTTGACAGCGAATTTATGCGGGTGTGTGCAAGTTATTATTGAAAAAGGAGGCGGGGGAACCTTAAGACTTATTCAAAAAGATCTTCATTTGTCTTTAGAAAATGAACAAAAGTTGTGTGGGTTTAGAAGGACATGAGGGTGAGTAAATGATGGAATTTAAATTTTTGGGAGAACTATCCATTTAAGTAATAATACACTGTTGGCTAGTGCTACATGATAATGGTTAGACTCAAAAATGATAATCACGATTATTAAATCTCATTTGAGAAATCACAAATCAAGAGAATGTCAACTACACAAGGTATATTTTACCCCTTTTATTATATGTATCATATACATTAACACTTTCTTTATTATAGATATTTTTAAATGTTAAGAAGCTTCTCTCAAAAGCTAAAACAGTGAAATAATTCCAAATTGTATTAATATTTGTCTATTAAAACAATAAACAAAGACTTTGTATTGTAGCACACAGGTTGTGCAAGTGCATATATTTAGCAATCACAATCGCAAACAACTTGTGAGATTCACATTTGGTTCGTCACTAAAAAGGTTTTCTTGCAGATTTAGTCATAAGTGATGCTTATGAAGGTGTTTTCAGACCATCAGCGCTTTATTGCAGTGCAGAGAAAGCATGTTCAATAAAGAAAATAGAGAGGAAAATGTATCAATTTAAGAGAAAAGCTCTAATTGGGGGACTTAAATCTCTTGAAATCTAGCAACCAACACCAAATGCAAGATAACAAATGTCAAATGACAAAAAAAGTTTAGGATAAATAAGCAGTGGGCCAATATCTCCGATTATTTTGCTTAAACATTTTGAGAATAACAATTTGTGATTAAATACCATTTAACGTTCAATGTTTAGAAGTGTTGGTTTTAAACAGCTTCATTCTGTGCAAAAACAACACCTGATATATTGCATGCAATGAAGAATACATTTGTTCTTCAACAGGGGTAATGTGTAAGTTTTAAAGGGTCATGAAACCCTACATGTTTTTGATATGTTGGCATTTGATATGTAGAGTTGCACTTCACTGAAATCAATAGCACACATGCTTAAATTATTATGAATTTAAAAGTGATTGTTTCATTTTTTGGAGCCATTTTGTTCTTGTGGTTTTGAAAGCAAAGTTGAAACACATCATAAGTGAGTGAGGTATATGCATTAATAAGGAGTGAGGGTTGGCTGTGGAGAGTACGCATCTATGTCATCACTTTCATAGTTTTACTCTGCGTTTATTTATGAAAAAGAGTTCACTCATGTAGAGTGTTCAAGTTCGGACACAAGGGTTTGTTTTCTTGGCACAGCAACACAAGTATTGTTTTCATTTTTCCCACAATGTGGTCAGAGCTGGAGTTTGACTTCCAACTCATGACTAACAATATTTAACATGTAACAACACGCGCAATTTGGATCACAGTTCATATTCCAGAGCAAGTGTGTTTCAAGTTGCTGTGCATATATTTCATAATGTCTCTTCTAATACTGTAGTCAACATTTGAAGTGGATCAAAAAGGTTCATCAAAGTTGTCCTAAGACAAGAACGGGTATTGTTCAAAATTCATGTCATTCATTCAACTTTGATGAAAGGTTCTGATCCACGTAAAATGTTGACTACTGTATTAGTAATCAAAAAGATAAAAAAAAAAAAAAAACATATTTGATTTGTTCATAAGTTATCATAGCTTCGTATTTTTTTTTTTAAGTAGATCAAGGTGTTCCCCCAACTCTGTTGTGCTTTTCTTTCTCCACTCATATTTTAATATTCATTTGTCTGTTTAACGAGTGTGTTGTGGATCTGTTTTGTTTCTTGTTTTCTCCCTTGTTCCCACCCTCTGCACGCCCATTTCCTTAATCTTTTTCAAACCTGAGGTGTGAACGACCAGTGTTAAAACTGGGGTTTCATGACACTTCAATGCTAAGCAACTATTAAGACTAACCTTCATCTGTAAGCTCTTCAGACAGGCTATAGCATTGTAGTACTTCTCAGCAGCTGCTGCAATATCTCCATTCTTGAATAGCGCATTTCCTTCTTCGTGGATCTGCGGTATGGCCTCCAGTTTCTCCTCATCTGTCATTGCCCATATTTCCAACTGAAAGGAGCCAGGTGGCAAGACCTTGGGAAGATGATTACACAGAGAATCATGAACCAATAATTTAAGTATTTTTGTTGTTGAACTAGACCGTTTTATTATGATAGCTAAGTTAACACCTCTAAAAAGGATACCATGCATCTGTTTCTCACCTGCAGCAATTCCAGAGTAAAAACTAGAGGCTGAGGATGGGCCTGCAACTTATCCAGATCGTGGTGACCTATGGAATGATGCGAGTGAACCTGAGCTACTCCACAGCAGTGTCTCTGTCCTTCAAGTGGGTCTTTTCCTTGGCTGATGTTGCGTAGTGACAGAGAAACCATGGGGTAGAGGGCTGTGTGCTATTACAGTGGAAACAAAAACAAATCAGTACTGAGCTGAAGAATCTCAAAATGTTTAAAGAGTAACGCATACTTATTCATCATAGATATTTCCATATTACTATAAAACAGAAAGGAATTAACAGGTCACTAACCTTTACATCACATGTAAAATCAGCAATTTCACCCTCTCTCATTGTGGTAACCACTTGCTCCCACACAGGTAGCTTGAACTTCTTCCCCAGTATGAGCTCCATAGGTTTACTCTGACCTCCCATTGTCCTGGAGTCATCCAACACAGTGCCATCACAAAGACTAGTGCGGTAATGAAACTTGACCTTTCGAGAAATAAACATTTGTTTGAATGCAACAAGCTCTCAGAGCAATAACATAGACATATCTGGTGTTTACATTTTATTTTCACTTACTATTGCCCACATATGCAAACCTTCATTGTTTCTTTCTTTCCATTTCAAACATTTGATTCCACTTATTTTTTTCTTACTATAATTTCATGTCAGGCTTTATAGGTTAAGTGTGATTGATATTTCATATAATGTAGCCAGTGGCAAACGTTACATGACATTCCAGTTAAAGTGCTGCTGTGCTGCACTTTAACTGGCCAAAAAAGTGCTGCTTACCCCTGTTAATAAGGGGTAAATTACGTTATAGCTTTCAGATACCATTCAGAAGGGAGGAACATTTTTTTCTCCTCTCAGTGCCAAAAATGCACACAGAAAGACACGCATATTGTCTGCGTGTCCTCCTTGATGTCTGTTACATCAGGTCTCCATCCCGATGTTTAGCTAAAGGCTAAATCTGAATACATTGGGCCTCCTTGTAAAAACAGCTCATAAAACAATAAACTTCTCACAGTACTAATGCGAAATATACTTAACATAACCGACTGCTGGGTTATTTTCGGGCGAATTCAAGCCCATGGTACACGTCGAAACTGGTGAATCTAGCTAGCTCGCTATCTGTAGAGTTCGACAAGTTAAAAATGATACATTTGTTTTCCGTCACGACATTTCATTATTGTAAAATGTGCCCTAAACGCTACATTACCTTTGTTCCATTAGGAAACGTTGAAAGCTCTCCTTTTCCGGGAGAGATTACTTTTTTCTGAATTCCATCCGCCGAGAGCTTATTAGCAAGTTCCTCCATTCTTCTAGAAGATGTAGAAGAATATAGTGCCACTCTGTTGAGACTAGATGGCGCTGCTGTGTAGCAGCGAAACGACAGGGTTCACATTGAACAACTACACTTCATGGCTTAAAAAGCAGGTTATAAAAAAAAAAAAATAATATATTTTTTTTTGACATGTGTGTTTGGTAATTTGAATGCTGAGAGTATTTCTCACATTTTCTTTATTTTGCACTGAGTTGTTCTTTTTAGAGCTGCTTCTTTTGTTAAATAAATGTGTTTTTATGTTTTAAATATGTATATTCATGACAAACCTTTAGAAAATAACATTTGTTCTGTTCGTAATTTATTTCTCACAAATGTTGTTGGTCAAAAAGAAATGTTGTGGGTCACAATTTGAGCTTTATTAGTTGGCCTATATCAAAGCATTGGTCAGCGTAAGAAGCATCACAGCAAAAACAACAACAAAAACCTATTCTTTTTTGTATTATTATTTTGGATCTATTCTTTCCTTTTGTTACTTTAGTTATGTCACCAAATTAAGCAAAAAAATTGTAACAGATCAAGTTTAAAGAATGAAGACATCTGAAAAGCCAATTAATTCAGTTTAATGGTTATTTAGTGTTGAACAGCAACCAGACATTTTGACCAATAAATGCAATTCTTAAATTCCATTTTCAAAGTGTATCAGATATTGTATTGATAAATACTTCAAAAAATAATTGTATATTATTTTCTATTAAATTTGAGGGTTGCCCACTCCAATTACACAGCATGCCAGTCGCCCTCCAGCATTGCCATTCAGCAAGCTTGCCACATTGCCACCTTTGCCCAAATCATCCTGCCCCTCATGAATGACAACAGACCGGCCAAGTATTGAGAGAGTCCCAAAGAGTGTTGCATTGGAGTCCTGGGAGTGACGAATCTTCCCATTAACAGGCACAAAGTTCCCAAAGTCCCCTGGATGTTGTGGATGATTCACGCCGAGGGGATTGTAATGCCCACCTGTAGATCCGCAGCCCTTGCTTAAGTCTCCGTACTCATGAATGTGCAACGCTCTGGGCTGCTGACTGGAGACAGGGAGACCATACAGCCTGAAAGTCACGCTCAGCTTGTCCTTTGGGCCAGACTGTGTGAAAAGAATGTGACCATACACACGAGGCATGCCAGATGCTAGTCCAGTGTTAGGACGCATTCTACATACTGCCCGATGGGAATCACTGTACACTGCTGGGGGAACTGGATTTGAAGCATATGCCAAACCTGAGTGTGACCCGTGCACATGGCAATTGAGCAAGAATGCTAGAAGTGGTAAAATGTAGAAGCTTTTCATTTCTTCTTTTCTCTGCAGAAAAGCAAAACAAAAAGAAAATCAGAAAAAGCCAAATCATTCAAGTCAAATTGAATACATCAAGTCAAATTATACAATGAGCCAACGAGACATTATCCAATTAAATACACACACACACACACACACACACACACACATATATATATATATATATATATATATATATATATATATATAAGGTTTAACATTTTTGATTTATTTTGTTGACATATTAGCGAATTTTGGATTTCTGTTTTTATCACTGTATAAATCTGAAAATACTGGATAGGAATAAAACCGTAAAGTTTGGTATATGTAAGTGGTAACGTGCACTAAAGGTAACACTTTAAAGTGTATTTTGGATGGTTTCTTTCCACTAGTTCGAAACAACACTTAGCCAAATAGCCCAACATCTCAAAATTGACCAATGCATGAAAAAGTAGTTTTTGCCTTTAGTGTGTCTTTACTGTGTCTACCACACAGTCTCGCATTAATGGTCTTCATTAATTAAAATGTTCAAATATCCTAAACAATACTATAAGCCTCGTCGTTGATAATCGCCAAAAACAAAATCTACATCGTTAAATTATGTTATGCTGATGTACAGTCAAGTAGATTCTACTAACGTTACAGCTACTTACCTCTCGTGTGACGTACGTTAGCCAACGTTTTTAAAAAAAGAACTTTAAAATAACAAACGTGCACGATTGGTGTTCCTTCGCGTGAATTAAGGTTGTTGTTTTAAACTTGCATAACTCAGGGGCGTAAACATCTCAGATTTAGTAAATTATAGGCTAATGCTTGCACTACTTCAACGGATCAAATTTCATGCGCATTGCGCACAGAAATCGTATGAAACACGAATGGATCACGTATTTGATGAAAGATTTTTTTTTTTTCCCCTCGATTTTGTTTGTCCTCCATCAATGTTTTAGTAGTGAAAAGTTATCTTAAAAAATTAATTTTCCTTTTTTTAAAATGAAAGTATTATATATTTTGAATAGGCTACTAAGATATTATCGTAATGTAAAAAAACCCCAACTTGTTTAGGCTCACCCAGAGCTCGCGTGACGTTTCGACGTGACGTATATGGTTCATTTACATGAAGTCTCAGTCCTCACTTTTAGGGCCAGGTAATTCAATGTATCGCAATATACGTGCTTCGCTATATATAGTATGTCTTTTTAGTCGTATATATACAGACTATGGGTATATCACATTGTTCTGTAAAACAGTCCATTGAAAGGCAATAAAGCCAGTGTCACCGTCATGCAAACCCATCGCTGAATTCCGCTCTATATATTTCCTGTACTGGAGCAGGTTGTAGTGCGCATGCCTGAAAACTTGTATTCTAAGCCACTTGCGGGGAACCTGGTTTCACCATCGTTGCTTAGGGGAAAGTCCCCGGACACTGGGCAGAGATGTCCTGCATACAGCGCAGAGCGGCGGTTTGCGCAGCCTAACACTGCTAAGATGTCCTTAGTGACGGAGCTTAGAGCTTGCACTCCCCGTTTGTCAATGAAAGAGTTACGCAAGTGTAGTACACACGTACATCTACAGAACGGGGCTCATTCTCAGCTTGCGCAATGTTTTACATAGTCTTAAATCTCAAATTCTTGAGATCAGGGTAACTGACAATTATTATTGACATGAAAAATATATATTTATATACATATGCAACCCTATTCCAGTCAGTTATTTCACTTCTATAAAATGACAATGCTAAAGCAGATTTTTAAGGAATTTTTATGAGCATTTAATTCTTATCATATTAAAATGCTTTGTGTAATTATAATATGTTCATTTAATAAATTGAATGTATTCTAAATATTCGAATTTTAAATAATTTATTGTAAATAAATAAATCATGGGTTACCAAATTACATCAATTGGCATCAACTCATTTTATTTGACAATGTGTAATTTATCAAATTATACTATTGTATAACTAGGCCAACATAAAAATGTTAAGAAATATTAACAAATGATACAAGTTTAAAAGGAGGGAATTCATTACAGGGACATTTTGAGACGGTCCTCACTGCAGAACAAGAAATCCCGATCCATACTCTCCCACCTTACATGTACCTAAACTAAACCTACCCATCTCCGCCCCCTGATCCCTAACCCCACCCCTAATCCTGCCCATCTCCACCCCTTAGATCTGGATCCGACTCCGCCCCCTGGATCTCGTGTACTGCAATGAGGTGCTACCTTTTTTACAGTCTATGGGTGCAACTGGACATTTTAGCTGTTTACCTATTTAAATTGCCTTATTGACTGTCTTCTGGTTTTTATTTTTCATTTTCTCATTGTAATGTGGCGTCTACTATTAATTTACAACTCTTTCGTTTACATATTATAAATACATTTATATTTATTTACAGGCTATGTGTTCATGATATTGTGTTTTTATAATGTTGTTCTGTGTCAGAACTCAGGGGATACCAAAAATACCTCATATCGTAGTCTCCACTATTTGAATTTCGTGACATTTTCGCCCCTAGCCCCGATTACAACTACAACTGATGTTTTTTGTCATTACATCATCTCATTATTTACAATATTTGCTAACCGTAGCATTAACGCTGTGCTCGCACGGATCCACCTCGCTCTTAATGAAATCGAATCTCCAGTGTTCCATTAGAACTCTGGTCTGGACGCGCCCAGCTGATCCTGAATCCGCCCATATCTCAGCAACGCCACCTCTCATTGGCTAAACCGTCAAACCGCGGCATTTTATGGGTTGATCCGGCGCATGCGCACATCTGATAGTTTTGTTTGAAGGAGTTCTCGTAGCCAGAGAAGACTGGACTGAATTTGTCCGGAAAGAGTAGCTCTCTAGTCTACGAGGTTGCCAACTAATACATTTTTAAAGGAACCTATATGTGAAAAGCAGCTATTTTTTAAGACGCGGTTCTTCTCGAAAAGGCGCATAGCTGCTTGATGCATTACTACCATCATGTTAGGGCATTATCCAAACGTGGAAAAATCGCAGCTTGTCAACTACGTGGAGGATTATTTGGAATGTGTCGAATCGCTGCCTTTGGATATACAGAGGAATGTTTCATTGTTACGAGAGATCGACACCAAGTATCAAGGTAACCGAAGCATTTGTGAAAGGTGCCAGTGCGGTATGATGTATATTTATGCACATTTTAACGTTACATCGTGTGCACTTCACCCTGTGTAGACCGGCTTCGTTTAATTTCTTCACAGTAACAAATACATTTTAATTAACATTTCATCGGCGCTTCCAATGCTGTCCACGCCCGTTGTCTTTTAACGTTAGTTGTGTTTTGTCTTTAGCACATTCAACTATGTTTGATCCAGCTACACTATCCTACCACCAGTGATCAGCCATTTTGACTAGTGCATACTCTGTACTGTTGTTTGGCAGTGCTCCTTCTTAACGCATCGCTTTAGTTGCCATAGTATCGACGTAATGGTGCTTTCAGCGGCGTGTGTTTTCTTCGCATGTTGCCGAAACATCTACAGCTCGATCGCGACGCCTTTTAAAGCCTTCGAGTTTTCACTTTACAGTTTGCAAATGTATGTTACCGAGCTAAATTGTTTACGGGAAACGATTCATTCACGTTGCAAAGTACCGTTTAGTTCCTCATATTTTGATAAAACCGAGGTGCACGTACTGTGTGCTTGGGCAGGTAACGTGAGACTGGTTGTATGTTTTTGTTCCACACAGTGGTAGATTATAAAGCACTAGAACAACCCTGGCATAC